GTGAACAAAGAAGGGACCATCGGTGTGAGGAGGCTCCCTAGTGGGGAAGGCTTCACCAGATCGGAGAGGCCTGATAATGGGATGTGTCTTGGAACATTCCCATACAGAGGGCAGCTGCTTCCTGGGAGACCCTGGACAGGTCAACCAAAGGACCAGAAGAGTCCAGTGAAGAAATTCTTTTTGGGAAGCAGACATCTAAATACAAGGGTAGATTTAAAGGGGGATGTGAGTGTGTGTGAAGGAGGTGGTGGTGGAGATATCTGTCAAAAGAAAGTGGGAGAAGGGAAAAAAAGAAAAGACAAAAGGAGTGAGACTGGGCTCCGCGCCCGTAGCACAGTGGTTACGGTGCCAGCTACACACACCGAGGCTGGTGGGTTCGAACCTGGCCAGGGCCAGCTAAAGCAACAATGACAACTGCAACAACAACAACAACCAAAAGAAAAATAGCCAGTTGTGGTGGGCACCCCAGTTACTTGGGAGGCTGAGGCAAGAGAATCGCTTAAGCCCAAGAGCTGTGTGAGCTGTGACGCCATGGCACTCTACCAAGCGAGACATTGTAAGACTGTCTCAAAAAAAAAAAGAGTGAGACCAGAAGGCGCTTTAATGGATGCACTGTAGACAGAGACTTGGGTTTCTAGAACTTCCTGCCGTTGGGGCTCAGAAACTGATAGCCCAAAATACTGTGCTTTGACATGCTGAATTGAAGAAGCCTCAAGGTCTCTCTGTGCGTCTCCAGCCCCAAAGCACTGGATGAAGTTGAAGTTCTTTATCTACCTAAGATCCAAATTCAACAGGGAGAAAAACAATTGTGTTTTCTTACCCTCCCTGTAAGACCCCACGGAACCACACCTGAACAGACCCTTTCACAAGCAGGTGTACAAGTTCATCTATGTTCCCTGACCATTCACTCTCCCCAGTAGAATCCCATCCCACCTTAACCTGTTTGGCCAGGTATGTAAGCTTCTGAACCCCTTTGCAGGGCGGGTAATCACTCTGTGGTTCTCCCCGTGTACATGTTAATAAAATTTGTTATGTCTTTCCTCCAATTCATCTGCCTGTTGTGAGTTTTCAGCAAAACTTCAGAGGGCAAAGGGGAAGTTTCCTTTGGCCCCCTCCGCTGCTCAGAAGGTAAGGCATTGACCTTGAGTTCATTTGAATGGAAACAGCGCATGCTGGTCTCAAGACTGCTCCTGTAAAGCCCATCTTAGGCCACCGTGTTTCTTTCCCTGGACGTGGCAGAGGAAACTCAATAACTCACACTCCATGCTTGTCCTATGCATCACAAGAGACCTTAAACAAACAAAAGCCTTTGTGTTCTTTGTATCATCAGGTCTCAGGGTTTGGCTTATGCTGGGCACTGGGATAGCCTGCCATTACCGTGAGTAAGCCAGAATGCAAATACCTTTAAAACAAATACACGTGTGCCACGTTTTGACTTCGCTTGGTTTTCTGTATGCATAGAAAACCAATGGGGGAGGAGATACTCACCAGTGCAAATGTAGGGGGTGGTGGGGGGGCCGGAGGGGGAGGGACGGGCATCTTGAACTGTTATGCTTTCAACAATCTTGCAGATAAATCTGTAAAGACAAGACAAAAAGAAACAGCGGAGTCATGTATGAGGCTTCTTGGTGATTCTCTGTGCCGATGGCCCTCCACCCTCTCCCACTGAAGTGACGGCTTCACACAGATCAGCTCTGAGTTGAGATGGGCTTACCTTCACTGCCACACTGTCACTGTTCTAGAAGGACCCAACAAGGGGGGGGCGGAGGTGGGTTCTGAGCCAAGGTGCTTGGAGAGAACAAAGCCAAAGCTAGAGCCTGAAGCTGTTGGTGGCCTGAAGCCACGGTCCACCGCAGCAGCCTGAGTAAGCAGGGAGGTTTCCCGCATCTGGTAGAAATGGATCCCAGCCAAGTTCCATGGAAAACCACCCCACTTGAGAGGCTCCTCTTCCTCACTCATTTCCATAACAAAATCCTTTCTTGCCCTCCCATCCCACCCCTCCTTGCCCCACAGATTGGTTTTTCTTCTCTGGTTTTCTTGCATAGATTCCTGCTGTTCACCTGGTCTGAGTCTGCACACAGAAATACCAGGACAGATCTACTCTTCATCCTGCCCTCACAGTTCCCACTACCTTGCAGAGAGGGGAAACAGGATAACTAAGGGGAAGAGAGGAGTGAGGCAGATGAGATGGGGGGTGGGGGAGTGGTCCTTCCTTATTATCTCTGGTGCATCAGAGACCAGCCATGCTGTCTTTGAGCTACTCAGCATCTCCTTATAGACCGAAGTGAACACAAAGAGGCGTCAGGTCTGTGGCTACCAGGTGCTTCACCAGAAGACGCTTCTGTTAGCAGAGCTTTTCTGCAGAGGGCTTGCTCTGGGAACAAAGGGAAGACCAGACTCTGTGGCTGGGTGGGAGAGCTTAGGGACTTCAGGTGGGTAGGGGTTAGCAGGGTGGCGGGATCAGCCTGGCAAACATAAGGGGCAGGAGAGACAACAGCAAAGCACCCAAAGAGTTACACCAACCATAAGCCTTTCCCCCCCAATCCCTGGAGTCCCATCCCTCAGCCGTAGCAGAACTCCTTGTCCTGGCCAACGCCTCACTCACTGTTCTCACCTCTAAGTAATGCCGGCTTCTCCTACCCCAATCCCTGCTACTCCAAGTGTGGTCCTGGATAGGCAGCTGACCTAGGAGCTGTCAGAAACATTGACTCTCAGCCCCTTCTGCCCCTCACTGGCTGACTGAGTAACTACTTCCGTGGAAAATGTGTCCGAAGCTTCACAAAGCAGAATTATTATTATTATTATTATTATTATTATTTTGAGACAGAGCCTCAAGCTGTCCCCCTGGGTAGAGTGCCGTGGCATTACAGCTCACAGCAACCTCCAACTCCTGGGCTCAAGGGAGTCTCTAGCTTCAGGGGCTGGGGATTTGAACCCGCCACCTTAGGTGTACGTGGCTGGCGCCTTAGCCGGTTGAGCTATAGGCGCCGAGCCTGCAGCCGTCATTGTTGTTTGGCGGGTCCGGGCTGGGGATTTGAACCCGCCACCTTAGGTGTACGTGGCTGGCGCCTTAGCCGGTTGAGCTATAGGCACCAAGCCACAGAATTATTATTTTTTAAATTTCTCAACACTCTCCTAATTACAGAAAATAATTTCTTGGAATCTAAAATATTAATTTAGTTCCATGCACACTATCTGGGAGACGGGCACGCTTATAACTTTGACTCAAACTATAATATTCTGAAATTTAAAAAATTATGGAATTAAAAAAATTTAGTTAAATCACATAAAGTTAATGTAGAAAATCTATACTTTGAAACAAATAACTTGCTACTAAAATAACGTAGATGGTTTGCTTTCTGTGGAGAGAAATGGAATGCAGCAGCTAAAGAGACACTGCTGGACTCATCACAGCTGCTGGAAAACAAGAATAAGACTGTTTGGAGCAGCTTCCAGGGGGTGTCTAGAAAATGGAATTTTATAAACTTCTACGGCAGCAGCTGCCGCTGTGGTTTATGGAGAATGAGCTGGATCCAGGGCACCTGCTTCCACTGGCCGTCACTCCTGTGCCGAGTGTGCAAGCTACCTTGGTAGCGTGCATTTCCTGGGTGAGCACACTGAGACTTAGATACTAAGTCACTCCCTAAAAAGCCCATTGTGTCCCTTTAATGATCTAATAAGCATTTTCTGGCAGGCTAATTAGTGCTATGGCTCAACTATTAACTAGGTTGGAATCTGCTTTTCAGTTAAGAGACCATCTCAGACAGGATTCCCTCCAAACGTATTCTTTAAATTGGTCTTTTCTACGTGACCTCAGTTGTTCCCCATGGGTCATGCTGGGGAAGCAGGTTGGGCACTTGAGTCAGGTGGCCTATAAAGAGGGCTGCCCAGCCACAGATGCCTCAGAGTCAGGCATGTTCTAGGACCATGAGGAAGGACAGGGATCTGAAACTGAACTGGGGGCTGACTGTGAAAGATGCTGGAGCCAAATCAGTGTTATTAAGCTGGGAAAGGTGGCTTACCAAGGCAGGTGGTAGCCTAGCCTGCCAGTGGGCCTGAGAGTTGAGCTTCAGGGGACAGTCCAGCCACGTGGTTAGTGGATAAAAAGTCTCAAGATGATTGTACCTGATCCATGCTCACCAACTAACCTTCTGTCATCCTGTGGTCCTAATACCTAGAAAGGAGTGGCTCTCTGTCAATAGAAACTTCTCACAGGTTTGGTTCTCCTGGGTCTGTCTCTGGTTGCAGACTTTAAATTGAACCTCTGTCCTGTACAGCTTCGGGCCAGACTGTGGAATGGGGGCCCTGCCACCCTGAAAGGCCTCTTTAATTATTTTATAATTCTCTGTTGTTTCTGTTTTGTTACTAGTACTGTCTGTATAGTAACTGACATAAATAAACATCTGGACAACTCCGGGGTGAATGTGATAGCTTCGGGGTCCCGAGGGCTCATGTGGAGAGTGACAGCTGAGTCTGGGGCCAGGGCCAGACTGCGGAAACAAACAGGTAAAACCAAGGTTCAGGGAGCAAGAAGCTATTAAAGGCTTCAGGGTCTTGCAAGAAGCGGGGCTTTCCCCTCCAGGGCACCTTAGATAAAGGGGGGAGAGGAGATGCGGGTGAGCGCTCTCACTTTTACCAGGTGCCTCCTCTCCACCCTTCTGTCTGCAGCCGCTGTCCCTGCCCCCACCTCATACCTGTCCAGATGAACCGTGCCCACTCTCACCTGCCTGCTAAGAGGGCTGACAGCAGAGTACTCTTCATTCCTTCCACCTGAATAGCTGCTGGGCACATTCTGGACTTCCCAGGCTAAGAGTCTCCAGGGAAGGGTGTGAGAAATCCCAGACTTTGGCCCGACCACACCGCTCACCCCATGGATCAAAGAAGACTAAGCTCATGGTGCCCCATGCCAGGCGGGCACTTCCCACCAGTCTGGGGACTCCAGCTGAGCTCCCCAGCACCTGGCACAAAGTAGGGTGTGGAGTGAAAGAACCAAGGACCACACAGATTGAGATGGGGGGTGGGGGCAGTGTGTGCTCAGTCCTTATCTCTGGTGCATTACGAGACCAGCCATTACCACCTTTTTGCTACTTAGCCAAGTGCTTGCCATTGGAATGGATCCCAGCATCGCCCCTCATGCATCAGGAGGTTTGAGCAAAAGAATCAGCTGTGGTTCAGAGGGCCTTGCCTGCATTAAGTACTAGGACTTATTTTCCTGGTAGCCTCCATCCTACTTCCCCAGGGAGGTAGAACCTGAGGCTTTGGGAAGAGTAGGACGTTCCCTTCTCTCAGGTAGTTAACAACCCACATCAGGGTCAGAGCTGGACCTTACTGAAGGCTTTGGCACCTGAGCACCAACCAGGCATTCCTGCCCAGATCCTCACACCTGCAGAATCAAGGGTCGTGAACTTGGATGAAAAAAAGGAGCTATTATTTCTATTAAGTGTTACTTGAAATTTAGCATTTCCTTCAATTATGAATGTAGGTAGGTCACGAACCACAATACCTCAGATTCTTTTACCAATAGTTTTTACATATTACAACTGCAGATCAGCAATTTTGAAAACTCTGGCAATGTTTAGATCTGTCACTAGATATTATTATTATTATTTTCTTTTTGAGACAGAGTCTCTCTTCGCCGCCCTTGGTAGAGTGTGGCGTCACAGCTCACAGCAACCTCCAACTCTTGGGCTTACGTGATTCTCTAGCTTCAGCCTCCCCAGTAGCTGGGTCTACAGGCACCCGCCACAATGCCCGGCTTTCTTTTGTTGCAGTTGTCATTGCTGTTTTAGCTGGCTGGGGCCACGTTCAAACCCTCCACCCTCAGTATATGGTATATGGGGTGGGTGCCCTACCCACTGAGCCACAGGCGCCACCCCCTTGTCACCAGATATTATTATTTAAACCATTAATGAAGAAGTTCACGTAATTATTTTCTTTTACACTTCTCTGTATTTTATTTTACACATTTAAAAAATGTCATAGAAGTCCTTTTGGGGTTTTACCAGTGTGGTTTATGAAATGAAAAAGGAAGAACATGAGATCCAGGCCAGGCAGATTTGGCTCTGAATCTTTGATCTGCCACTATCAAACGTGGGACAGGAACTTAACTTCTTCGGCCTCTTTTTCCCATCTGTTAAAGGGATCATTGCTGGGAAGATGAAATGAAATGATATGCAGCAAGCTTTCAGCATGGCTTGGGAGAGCAAGCCATTGGTGGACAAGTCTCGAATCTGTCCTCCTTGAGGGTGAGGACAGGTCCAGCGGTATACAAGCTGCCAGGAGTATGGCAGAGGAGGGATGGGCCTGGAGGCTGAGCTGAGGGGCCCTGGGTTTGCACAGTACCTGTGGGTGGAGCTGCTTGGGATGGGAATGAGGCCAACTAATATGGGCCTGACTACATTTGGTTCTTCCCTTGGAGATGGGAGAATAGCAGGAAGGCAGCTCTGTCCCTGGCCTGGGAGAGGCCCTGGAACAAGGGGAGGAGGGCAGTGGTTCCCCCAGTGCCGCCTGTCATCTCCTGCCTCAGACTCAGACGTGTGCTGCAAACTGCTCCCCACCCTAGTCAGGCTCCCTACAA